ATTCAAGTAGGCAAAGTAATTGGAAGCTGGCTTTCTTTTTTCTTTTTTCAATAAAATTTTGAATTTTTAAGTATAAGAATGGATTCAGATTTTGGCATAAAAGTTCAGTTTCCTCTGAATTCATTGGATAATCCCTTTGCTTTCTAAGAGGCATATAAAAATAAACATCTGAATGTGCCTGAGCACATGGTGAGTATAAATAGTTGTTGGATAATTCAATAATTTCTTCATTTTAGGATTTCAATACCTAGGAGCTCAGTGCACAGTTGGTACGCAATAAATTCTTGTGAATTATAGGTCATCATTATTGTCTCAAGAAACACTGTCAAAAATCAGAGACAGATCAGATCCAGAGGCATAGGGTATAGACCCTGGTCTCATGATACTTGTGGTCTATTTGGGGGACAAACACAAAGGTAAGTAACCATATGTGATAGCTTGTGACCAGGGCCGCCGGCAAGTACGTATGTACTGCAGGAGTTCAGAATAAAGCACGTGTGCCGGAAGGGTTTTGGTGTGGTCATTGGACAGGATCATAACTGAGTCATCAAAGGTACTGAGTGCCACAGTTAAGAGTCAGTCTTTCATTAAGTGAAGAGCCGTGATTATTTTTGGTTTTTGTGGTGTTCAGAGCAGTGTTTTAGGGGGACCAGTCTTATAATGGTGTTTGGGATGAACTGATGGTGGGGCAGAGGCTGGAGCCTTGAGGGGCCTTTCAGGACCTGCTCCCCTAGTCTGTCCTTTGGAGAAGTGATTTGAGCCACAGGGAGCTCACCACTTCTCAGAGGCCGTAATGTGGGTGATGATCACAGTAAAGCCCTTCTCCCTCTGCATACGCACCCCAGATGTCCTGTCCTATCCAGGGGATCTGTGAGGCGCAGGGTCAAGCCTTTGCCACCCTCTCAGATAGTTGTGCCTCCTCCAGTTGTCCATCTTTCTTTCCCACCTGCCTTGAGGGGAAGGAACAGCCAGTCCATTCTTTGAATCAAATCCCCAGCTTCTCTCTCCTTTCCCCCACCTCCTTCCCTGGGGCAGCCCCAGGGTAATTCCTCTTTGGACCTCACTTCTGGAACAGCACGAGTGGAGAGTTTTCTTTGTCTACTTTTGAAACAGAGAAGCACTGAGTTCCACCCCTAAGGGAAATAAAGCATAAACTCTTATGTGTTCTTCTCTGGGAAGCCTAGGGAGTTTAAAACAATTCTTTTATTGATTCTCTCACCGCAGTATCTGTCGCTGCTGTTGTGGTTGTGATGAGGCCCAGGAAGTTACCTCTGCTGGAAGTGGGCCAGCAAGTTTGGTACTAGCAGCTGGAGACTTCGTTTTGTTTAGCCAAGGGGAAGAATTTGAAACTGCAAGGGAAATCCTGGAGTGGGGAAAGAGGAAGCAGTTTGGTGGCATCAGAGTTGGGTGACATGGGACAAAGGCAGATTAAAAACAGCGATGGGCTGGAGAGGAAGCTTGGGATGCCCTGTGGGTTGGAGAGGGTGTGGTCTTTGCTCTGCCCTTGATCACGGGGCCCATCTTGGCCAGCTTCCAGCTCCCTATCTTCTATTCTGGTTAGCATTTATCACCCCCAGAGGTCTCTTACAATTTAAGAAAAGGGAACTAAAAATTTCTCCCTCTAGTCCACATTCCAGTCTCTACTTCCTCATTTTTTCATTTATTTCTAAACTCACTAAATTTTAGAAATCTGTCATCTAACAGCTTTATTAAGATATAATTCACACACTATACTTATTTAAAGTGTACACTTCAGTGGTTTTTGGTTATGATCACAAGACCGTGCCACCATCACCGTGGTCAGGAATGCCCAACCCTCTTCCATGAAAAATGCATCATGTTACCTTCCCACCAGCGCTGTCGGAGGGTACTAATTTTTCTACATCTTTGCCAACGCTTATTATCTGACTTTAAAGTTATCTTAGTGGGTGTGACGTTATCTCATTGTGCTTTTGACATACATTTCTCTAATTACTAATGATGCTGAGTATCTTTTTTATGTGCCACTTGTGTATCTTTGGAGAAACGTCTGCTCAGATCCTTTGCCCGTTTTAAAACTGGGTTATTCATCTTTTTATCATTGAGTTGCAAGAGTTCTTTTTTTTTTATTCTGGATATTAAGCCCCTTAAAAGATAATTGACTTGTTAACATTTTCTTTCATTCTATGGGGTTGTCTTTTCACTTCATATTTTTAGCACAAAATTTTAAAATTTGTATGAAGTCTAATTTATCTAGTTTTTTCTTTTGTCGCTTATGCTGTTGGTGTCATGTCTTACAAGTGCTTTGCCTAACCCACGGTCATTTTAAGATTTACTTTTATGTTTTCTTTGAAAAGTTTAAAAGTTTTAGCACTTACATTAGATCTGTGATCCTTTTTGTTAATTTTTGTATAAGGTAGGAGTTCAGTTTCAGTCGTTGAATATTTGGTTGTTGAGCACCATTTGTTGAAGATTGCTCTTTCCCCACTGGATTGTCTTGGCATCCTTGCTGAAAATCAGTTGAGCTTAAATGTAAGAGTTTATTTCTGGGTTCTCAGTTCTGTTTCATTGCTCTATTTGTCTTTCTGTGTGCTAGGGCCATGCTGTCTTTATTACTGTAATTTTGCAATAGATTTTGAAATTGCAAAGTGTGAGATCTCTAACTTTGTTCTTCTTTTTCAAGATTGTTTTGTCTGTGCTGGGCCCCTTGCATTTCCTCATGAGTTTAAGGATCAGCTTGTCATTTTCTGCAAAAAAAAGTCAGCTGGTGTTTTGATAGGGGTTGTACTGAATTTGTATATCAATTTGAGGAGTGTTGCCATAGTAACAGTACTGTGATCTGAGCGTGAATATGGGATATGATTCCACTTATTAGGTCTTTAACTTCTTTCAAATCTTGTTGCATAATTTGCAGAGTATACATTTTGTACTTTTTGTTAAACTTGTCCCTAAGTATTTTGTTCTTTGTTCATTGTAAATGAAATTGTTTTCTTAATTTCATTTTATGATTGTTCATCTCACTAAAATTTGGCCTCTGCCCTGACCGGCACACCAGTATTTCTCTCACCATACTATTTCTCTATCTCCTTCTCCTAATTTTCTCTTTCTGACCTTTCAATCTGGCAAACCTATTTATTAGAGCTGGTGTGCTAGCAAACATCACTGAAGTGTAACTGGACCCACTTTTTCATTTTCTTATAAATGCTCATATAATACTTTGCTGTTATTCCTGAGTGTAGGCAGTTTGACAGAGCAGTTTGTATGCACTGTATGGCTAATCTCTGAATCTGGTATGCACAGTTCACGGTGTGGATTAAAGTAATTTTGGACGGACGCATTGCTTGTTGCATTTCTACCATTTGTAAATATTTGGTAGTTCATTACCAGCAGGCTGAGCCCAAATTCCATTTCAGAAACATTTGTCTTTTCTTCCTAATATTAGTTACATATAAATGTTTTACTTTTTTGGCTAGTTCCTTGTCACTTTTTTTGTTGTTGTTGTTGGATATTTGCTGAATAGCATAATCTAAAGTCACTGATAACTTGTATAACTGTCATTTTACCTTTCTTAACATTTCATAGTGAAAGGGAAGTAAGTATTTGAGTGATTCAGTCATTTTTTTGTTTCTCTGAATGTAACAAGTTTATTTAAATAACTTTTCCATATTTTTCCCTTTTTATCCAGCTTTTCCCCCATGTATCTAGTTCATACGCTAATGCCAGAGATATTTTATTAAAAAACATAATTTATTTTTTTAGTGGTTAACTCTTTTTTTGTTTTTGTCTTTGTCTTTTTGGAATTAATTTTGGGCTTAATGAGAAGTTGCAAATATAATACAGAGAATTTCATATATCCTTCATCCAGAGTCATCTTACATTATCATCTTGCAGAAGTGTAATTCTGTGATGCAGGACACATTTATCACAGCCAACAAATTAACGTTGGTACAGTGCTGTTAACTAAAATAAAGAACATATTTGGATTTCAGCAGTTTCCCCACTGTTGTCTTTTTTCTGTGCCAGGATCCAATCCAGGATCCTACATTGCATTTAGTTGTAATGTCTCCACAGTGTTCTCCAGTTTTTTGATAGTTTCCCAGTCTTGTCTTTTCTTTGAGGACTATAATACTTCAGTTATTTTGTAGACTTTCCCTTAATTTGGGTTTTGTCTGCTGTTTTCTCATGCTTAGATTGGAAAGGGTGCTGAAGAGGTAGTAAACCTCAGAATAGCATATAGGGATGTATTATTGCTTATGCTAACCCTGATCGATTGTCTGCCACGGTTCTCCACTGAAACTTGTTCTTTTTCCCTTCGTAATTACTAAATATCTAGAGAGTACTTTGACGCTATGTGAATATTCTGTTTCTGCTTAAATTTTCACTGTCTTTCACATTCATCAGTAGATGCTGCCAGTGGCGGTTATTACCATGGTGTCCTAATGGTGATTTTCTGTTTTTCTCATTTTATCTACATTTGTTAATTGGAATTCTTCTGTAAGGAAGGGTGCCACTCCTTGTCCATTACAAAGCAAAATGTATAGTTATGTCAGTATGGGCGCATGGATATTTATTTTATTCTGTGGATTATAATCCAATCCTATCATTATTGCTCAAGTTGTCCTGACTTTTTCTGCTTGAGATTTGAATGAATATGTTTGTCAAGATGGAGACAAATCTGTTGAAGCCTAAGATGCTCAGAGACTCTTTGGTTTCATTTAACCTCTAGCAGAATGGAGAACAGCCTAATTAATAAGCAAGACTTTCCTCCTCCATTCCTGAATCATAATTTGCTGCTTTTTTCACGTCTTCCTCTGTTGGGATTAGACTAGTGAATCTCCCAGATTCAGCATACTCAAAATTGAGTGATACCAAATCTGAAACACCTTGCTTATGAAGTGAATTTAGATTCCATTTGCTAAATGATGAAATTTGTATTTTTATATATAATTAAATTCCTCATTCTGGAAGCCTCAGGTATTGTTATATTATAAATTATTTCATATTACACATCTTGTTTTTAGGAAAAGAAGAAATATGAAATCCTTCAGAGGGAAGAGTCTGATGAAATCTCCCTTGCCAAAACCCCTAGAGAGCTGGAAATCCCTACTCCAGCTTGTGAATTTAAAGGAGACCATCTGAAAGTATTAACTGATTCCCAGCTCCAGAATGATACCAGTGGACAAAATGAGAGTGAAATGTTTGATATACCACTTACCTCCTTAACTGTGAGCAGTGAAGAGTCTCTGACGTATAACACAGAGACTTTAAAGGATGGGGAGGAGATCAGAGCCCACGTTGGGGATGATGCAATCAAGCTCAAGGTCAACCCTGGAACCAAAGCAGAAACCCTCAAGAACTCTACAGAAGTAGAGGAAGATAAATTGGTACAGTGTGGACCTTCAGAAAGCACGCTGCAATCTAATGTTTCTTATGTTCAACAGGAGATGGAAAATTCACAGCTCAGAGAAACTCAGAATAGGAAAGAAGACGAAAGCTTGGGTCTTTCTTCAGAGGTGCTCCAAAATATTGGCTTGCAGAGTCCTTGTGAAGCCAAAGACATTTTTCAGCCACCTAGAGTGAAAAAACTGTATCCCCAGTTGCCAGCTGAAATTGCTGATGATGTACCAGCTTTGGTGGCAGTGAAACCCTTGCTTCGTAATGAGCGCCTCTACCCAGAGCTCCCATCTCAACCGGAAGTGGTACCATTTACGAAAGAGCAGCTAAAAATCTTTGAGCCTGGTTCATGGCTGGAAAATGTTGAGTCATATTTAGAAGAATTTGACAGCATGGCTCATCAGGACAGGCATGAATTTTATGAGTTGCTTTTGAACTACTCACGATGTAGGAAGCAGCTGCTGCTGGCCGAAGCCGAGCTCCTTGCTCTGACGTCTGATTGTCAAAGTGCTAAAAATCGACTGTGGCATTTTAAGGAGGAACAGTTGTCAGTTCAGGTATATTGACCAGTGTTCTGTAAAGCTTGCGGGAGCCTGGGGAATTTGCAGTGGAGCTGCTGTTCCTGTGATGCCATCGAGGTCTGGAGTCTGCTCTTTCTACCCACGCAGACCTGTGTTAGCCCGTAATAATAGAGTGCAGGGACACAGTGTCCAGTGCCTGCTGGGGCCAAGCAGGTAACCTGGACAAGTGAAACAGGTTGAGCGGGATGTTGTCACTGGGTAAGCTCATGCCTGGTCCAGCGGGCACAGCTGCTCTCGTGTTCTAGTCCATTGTTGCTGTGAGGTTGTGTTGGTTCAGCATGGCCACATCTTACGTTTTTCTCAGAGAAGCTGGAAGTCTGGATTTTTATGGGAAAGATCTTGATTTGTAAACCTTGGCAGCTAAATCCAACACACACTCATAGACAAACACACATGCACGCACGCACAAGAGGCCAAAGCAAGTCACGTCTCGAGGTCAGATATTTAGCTTGTGACCTTGGGCATAAAGCCAGGAATACCCAATGGGTAGAGATGTCAGGGAGAGGATGATTCCTGGAACAAGGTCAAGAACAGATGAGAAAATAGAGAAGGCAACAAGACACGATTCTCTGGAGGCCGGGGTGCCATCAGGAAAGCCACTTCATAGTGGCCTGGGAGGGATGGCAGGAAGAGAAGGCCACTCTTGACAAGTCTGGCAGTGAAAGGAAGTTGGAGGAGATTTCAGGGAGAAGTGTGGGACTTCCCGCCATCCCTAATCCTCATTCCTTGGGAGACCTGTGTATCTCTTTGTAGGTTGGGGGGGGGTCCTGTGGAGAGGGAAGCATTTGAAAGTACTGAAAAAGACTGGGTAGAATTAAGAACACAGCTGGAGAGTTAATATTGGAAGGAGGGGGTTTCTTCTTTTGAGCAGCATCACAGAGAATGATGAGGTAAGTACAGAGATGTTTTGAGGTCCCTTGAAGTGGAGGGCGTACCGCATTGACCTCAGTGTTTGTAAAGTGAAAGGTAAGATCATCAGTCATGAGAGTCTGAGAGACAAACCCTGTGGTTTTCTTGCACTTTTCTCCACCTACTTCTTAGGTTTCTCTTCCCTTCTCTCAGCTTATGATGCCTTTGTGACTGGCATTATACTCCTTGGCACCTGGAGATACGTTATTAACTTCATTGTTTTCTACGTCGTAGTATCGTCCCCTCTCTGATTTGTAAGCTGTTTGAAGATGATACCTGCTGCCCGGTTCCTTCAAGAGCAAAGAGTAACTGGCTTCATCTGTTACCCTTTTGCCCACCGTTAGGGTATCTGCGCGGATCAAGTGAAAGTTTCAGGCCATCACCGCTACCAGAGAGTGGAGATGAGTGAAAGTGCCCTGGGAGAGCTAAAGAAGCTGTTTGATGCCAAATCCGAGCACCTCCACCAGACCCTGGCTCTGCATTCTTACACCTCTGTGCTCTCCCGGTTGCAAGTGGAGTCTTACATCTACGCGTTGCTCAATAGCTCGGCTGTTCTGAGATCTTTAGCAATTCATCAGGAAGGCCGAGGTGTGTCAGTCATGAGTGTCTGGCTCTTTCTTGTGATCTGAAATGAAAGAAGAATTGAGGGGTACAGTCTGGTTGAATTGACTGTGTGCTGATTGGCATTATAAGGACCATTTGTGCTTGCTGGTTTACCTGGCCTCCCCCAACGTAGGACTGAGATCTGCCTTAATAGCATTTCTTACGAGCGGTGCCAGGTCTCCTTCCCTGTAGGCTGACATTTTCTGCTTCTCTAGGAAGCCAGATGTTTGCTTTTTATCATTAACGTCTCTTACTGTCCTAATTTATATGCTTGTTACCAAGTGGAGTCCAAATACAGTTTTTGATTCTAAAGCTAATAATCAGAATACTTTTTCACTCTCTGTTGCACTTTATTTATGCTTGTCCCTTTTGTCGGGCTGTTTTATTTAATTTTCATCAGAGCAATTACAATGTTCTGGATTTTTTGTTTTATTTTGGATTTGAAGAAATTAGCCTTTACCATATGATGTATTGAGTATTAGTTACTCAATTTTTATTTCTGGGAGAGTTAGTAGGATCATTTAAAATTAAAAAATTCCTCCCTTTTATTGTTTTAATAACTAATCAAAGAGCTGGAGCCAGGCCTGAGATCTGCTGATTTTTAAATTAAAAAAATACATTTTGATGAAGTTATTTTTTCTTGCTTTGAAATACTTCACAGATACTTTTTTGGTTTATGTATTTAGTAGAAAGTCAGATCTTTTGATGAAAATTTT